GAACGGGATTTATGTGCAAGGAACTCATATGTAGTGGTTGGCGAGACAAAGATGAATTGAAAGGCAACGTTGACACATTGGACATGACATTACCTCAAGTGCTTGGGCCAAGTCAAGCAAGTAGACAACACGGATATTCATCAAGTAGAGTTGCTATTGGAGCAATTCAAACCTGCAAGATCAAGCAGTCAAGGCGAGCACACTTTAGTCCATGTGAAGGTGATTGGGTTTACATAAAAGGGAGGCGGATAAGAATTCAAAAGCGGTCCAAATTGCATCCAAGAGGAGACGGACCATTTCATGTTCTAGAACTAATTGGAAACAAGGGCTACAATTTGGTTGACCAAGGTTCGGATCCGAGGTCGAATCATTTCGAAGAGATAGGGAATGATATGATCCAGGATGGGCTCCAATTTACCAAGAATTTTTCAGATTTTGCGCACAAGTTTTACGTAATTAAAACTCTTAATTTGGTAATTTTATATTATTAGGATTCCTTTAGTCACGTTTTACTATGTTTAGTGTTAGTTTTCCAATTTAATTAGGGTTCTATATTTTCCATATAAATAGTATTTTTATTTTCATTGTAAAAAAAAGCCGGGACTTTTATGATGGATTATTTAATGAATTTTCTTTCGAAGCTTTGCTTCAAAACACCGAACTTATCAATATTTGATATCTTGTGGCGTTCAAACAAAACATCGGGTGTGAATCATTGAATTGTGTAATCAAAAGGTCCTTCGCATTATCGTTATTGTTGGGTTGTTTGATTCATTAATTCTTTGGGTTAAATCCACAAATTCGGAGGAGATTTCAAGATTGTGTGATTAAGATGTCGTTCGTTTCATATACGTATGGTTGCTTGGTTCACTTTTGCGGGTCGATTCCTAAACCTTGATCGTTATTTGACCGTTCTTGGGATCTGTTGTCAATTCGCATGGGTTCACTTGCAATCTTGCTAATCGGGTTCGCATCAAGAACTGGGCTAATGTTAATATTTGAGCCAAAAGTCTACAATTCTTCTTAAATATTTATAAGGGCTGGGGGGACAATGCTAGGCTACAGCCCAGTAATGCCCCCCTCTATCTCTTCCTCTGAATGGATTGGATAATGTTAAAACAAATTATAAGTTCTATCATGAGACAAAAGAATGTTTACTAATCTAATAGCGTTGGAAATAAATAATTAAGGAAAGAAAGGTTAGAGTGAAATCACAAAAATTTCTCAAAAGATATTTGTATTCTATGGCTTCGTTCTATTAAAATGTCTCAAGCACAAAGCCTTTTATAGGTACAAGGGGTCCCAATTGCATTGTATAAACTCAAGAGACTAATTAATGACTTATCCTAAATACTATGAATAATAGGATATAAAGAACCAGGTGGATACATGAATATTATATGAACTATTTCATGTATCAAATTTAATTTCCAACTTCATGAATCAAGTTTAATTTCCAACACTCCTTCTTAAACTTGATTTCCTCTTGGTGACTCCAATCCAAGCACATAATCTTGCAAAATCATCATTTTTCAATGGCTTAGTGAAAATATCTGTTACTTGATCATTAATCTTCACATAAGCAAGCTCTACTTCTTTGTTCTCGATAGACTTTTATGATGAATTGAATGGAGTTTTTCCTCTTGAAGCTTTTGTTTCAAAATATCGAACTTATCAAGATTTTATGTCTTGTGGAGTTCAAACAAATTATCGGATTGATTTCTTTGAGTTGTGTAATCAAAAGGTCCTTCACGTCATCGTTATTGTTGGGTTGTTTGATTCATTAATTCTTTGGGTTAAATCCACAAATTCGGAGGAGATTTCAAGATTGTGTGATTAAGATGTCGTTCGTTTCATATACGTATGGTTGCTTGGTTCACTTTTGCGGGTCGATTCCTAAACCTTGATCGTTATTTGACCGTTCTTGGGATCTGTTGTCAATTCGCATGGGTTCACTTGCAATCTTGCTAATCGGGTTCGCATCAAGAACTGGGCTAATGTTAATATTTGAGCCAAAAGTCTACAATTCTTCTTAAATATTTATAAGGGCTGGGGGGACAATGCTAGGCTACAGCCCAGTAATGCCCCCCTCTATCTCTTCCTCTGAATGGATTGGATAATGTTAAAACAAATTATAAGTTCTATCATGAGACAAAAGAATGTTTACTAATCTAATAGCGTTGGAAATAAATAATTAAGGAAAGAAAGGTTAGAGTGAAATCACAAAAATTTCTCAAAAGATATTTGTATTCTATGGCTTCGTTCTATTAAAATGTCTCAAGCACAAAGCCTTTTATAGGTACAAGGGGTCCCAATTGCATTGTATAAACTCAAGAGACTAATTAATGACTTATCCTAAATACTATGAATAATAGGATATAAAGAACCAGGTGGATACATGAATATTATATGAACTATTTCATGTATCAAATTTAATTTCCAACTTCATGAATCAAGTTTAATTTCCAACACTCCTTCTTAAACTTGATTTCCTCTTGGTGACTCCAATCCAAGCACATAATCTTGCAAAATCATCATTTTTCAATGGCTTAGTGAAAATATCTGTTACTTGATCATTAATCTTCACATAAGAAAGCTCTACTTCTTTGTTCTCGATGCACTTTCTAATAAAGTGGAATCTCGTATCTATATGTTTGCTTCGATCATGGAACACGAGATTTTTACCCCAAAGCAAAAGCTGACTTGTTATCAACATAAATTAGTGTAGCTTCGTTTTGGGGCATATGAAGCATCTCCAACAACTTCTGTAGCCAAATGGCATGACAAAACACATGATGCAACGAAAACATTTATATTTCTACCAAAATGCAAAAAAGCATTAGTAAAGCCCCTCAAGTATCTGAATATCCATTGCACTGCTTTTCAATTTTCTTTGTCAGTATTTGCCATGTACCTACTAAAATATTTTGCACGTAAATCTAAATTTTTTTCTACTTTTTAATCCATACATTCTCCAAAAATTCACTATTACAAAACGCATTTTCAATAAAAAGAGAAAAAAAAATGGGGATCAAACATATGAATATACTAAACTGTTTTTCAAACATTAGAATCTGGTAACTAGTCTTGTCAAACTTTTTAACTTTCATATCGAAGAAAATAAAAGAAAAAATCAAATAGCTTGCATGCTCTATAAATCACGATGTGATTCATTTAAATAATATTCTTCTTTGAATCTTGTCAACTATCAATCAACGTGATCTTTATCGACATCAAATGTTAACCAACATTGCAAAACAGAACTAGATCTAACCTTCAAGATGAGGCTGGCAATATCGAAAATACGCGTGAATGAAATTTGTAAACTGGTATGCTCATTTCTTGTATTTTTTATTTTAATATTCATGTTTCCTGTCATGGAGATTTTAGAGAATCTGACGTAGTGTGAAACAAGGAATTCAAGTGAAAACCTTAAGAATAAGAAATTTGGAATCCACCAAATAATAAAGAAAATAAACTGACGAATTTTATTAATAAAAGATAATGAAAAAACGAACTAAGCCTTTATTTATAGGGAAGTGCTACATGTACATAATTGTCTACATAATGGTATCCATAATTACACGTGGCATTGGATCCAACCTTTAATTCAAATCTCACACTTTCACAACAACAATAAGATGATTGCTACATCACATTATGGACAATACTGCGTGCAATAATTATGTGCATGTAGACTTTCCCTTATTTATAAGGGTTTATAGGGAAACGTAGTTTAGAATAATTAAAAGTAATGAATAAGAAGTTTAAACAAATTAGAATTGCAAAAAACCCAAAATAAAAGAATTGATAAAAATAGCACCAAAACTTTAAAAATCAGTTTTCGAGGTCCAAGCGAACTCGAATGGCTGAAATTCGTCGTACGTCACAGCATAGCAGTGTGTATTATTTCTCTCATCGTTCTACCCAATCCGAAATTAAGATGATGTTTTATTTCTACTAGTGTTTCTTTCCCAATATGTCCTACATTAGATTCTATAATTAGTTCAATCTCATACGCAATTTCTTGTTAAGATTAAAAAAAAAAAAACTAATTAATTTTTTTTTTATGCCTTAAGTATTTAGATCGATGTGATGGTATATTATACTATCTAAATTGAAAAAATGTATACGTTATATTGCCATTCATTAATAAGACTTTAGTGTGTTTGAAAGAAGTCATTTTGATCTATACACAAAGGTTATGTCGAAGATAATGTATAAATAAGAAAATCTATCATATTTGTATTATTTTAAACTTCTAATGAATTAGTTTTGAAACCATTTTTAAAAAGGATTAGATGAAAATAAATATTACTTAGCCCTTGTTTGAGCCACATAATGTTCATAAGAATGTATCTTTGAGTAATATATTGATGGGAAATGTGTGGTTAAAAAAATGAGGAAAAATCCTGGATCTGCGTGTAATATTATTTTATTAAAGAACGTGTGATTGAAGTAATATGAAATCACTATTTAAGAATGTATTTTTTTTTAAAATAATGTGTGTCAAACGGGTTTAAAAGAACATTCAAGGTAATGATTGTTGTTGAGATTATATAAACGATCTTTTAATTGCAAAATATCAGAGAACATTAGCTTATGGTGGAGAATGAGAATTGGATTTAATTCCATGAAGAGAAAATAGAGTTCTTGGAACTTATAAGTGATGATTTTCAACAGCACAATGAGAATAGTTACACTACTACAAAGATCGTACATATCGAACTATGAAAGTTCAAGTTTTGGGTTGAAAGAAATTATAGCATCTGTCAGTATACAGAATTAGTTATCTTAATTACTATTTTAAATTAGGTGAACTTAAGTCTTTAGATCAATATAGAAGACATAAATTTTGAATGGGGAAAATTAGAAAGTGAATTACGTTTTTACTTCGGCCATTAAACGATAGCATTTTCTTAAAGTTGCTACTGAAGGAAGTGAATGAGAAAATGACCAAAAACGAAGGTACAAAAATGAAGACTAATTAAGGTCACTTAAAGCATGAAAATGTACTTCATAAGGTAATTTGCAGAAAATATACTTTTGTACTTATAAATTTAGCTCAATCTATAACATGAGACGTGGGAATCAAGCACAAATTGTGTTTTCTACCAGCAGCGGCACCAAATTTCTCAGTCATGTCGAATTCCTCAGGGCTAATCTCGCCAGGAAGTTTCCAGTCGAAGTGGTAGAGGAGATAAGCTAGAGAAAGCTCAATACCAGCAATACTAAGTGAAATTCCAGGACAAATCCTCCTCCCTGCGCCAAATGGTATTAACTCAAAGTGAGCTCCTGTATAACTGGTCGAAATATTGCTAAATCTCTCAGGTTCGTAAACATCAGGATTATCCCAAAATTCTGTATCTCTTCCTATTGCCCAACCATTTATTACAGCTATTGTATTAGCCGGGATATCATATCCACCAATCGTGCATTTTTCCCTGCTTATTCTGGGGCCTAACAAAGGACCAGGAGGGTATAATCTCAACGTTTCTTTAGTAACCATTTTTAGGTAACTCAAACTTTGAACATCACAATCAGAGATTTTCTTCTTTCCCTTAAAAGCTTTCCTTACTTCTGCCTGTGCCTTCTCCATAACTCTCGGGTGCTTCATCATTGCTGCCATTGTCCATTCAATTGCCATGGATGAAGTTTCAATTCCAGCAGAAAACAATTCCTGTTATATTCATGAACAAATTTAGAATATGTTAGTTTTGCTCGTAAGGAAATATGATTGCTTGATCGATAACGCGAAATATACAACACAACACTGACAGTACGGATATAACAAACTACTATCTTGTCTATTCCAGGCTCGTCTGGAATGAAGCAACTACAAACATAAGAAATCAGCAGATGGACGAATGGAAAATGCAAAGTAGGCTTTGAATTTCATTTGAATATAGTGGCAAAATGAATAGAATAAAACAGCTTTGAAGTCGAGAAGGCATCTTTTGGATAGTTGAACGGTTGAAAGCTAAGCTGCTCCTCAATACAGTGATTTAAGGCCATTGTTCTCTATTGTAGTGTCCAATAAAATGTATGATGATATTTGTATTTTGTAGTTGAATGTAAAAAATAAGTGAATCCTTCTCGTATTGAAAATTGTAAAAAAAATCTTATAATAATTCACTCACAAGTATATTCGCTTTGATGTTTTCCCTAGTGATCGAAACCTGGAGTTCTCTGCTGTCCTTTAATCGTAAGAAAACATCAAGTAGATCTTCCTCCGACGACTGATCGCTGGTCTGGCCTCTTTTTGGACTTAGTCGGTCCTCTTCGTGCTCACGAATAATGTTTTCAAGAATGATGTCGACTTTTTTGTGCATATTAACTAATTTTCGCTTTGATCCAAAAAGGNAGAGAGTTTCCGCAACAGGAAGAACAAGAAAGTGGCAAAGAAAAAAGAGAGCTGGATCTCCATTAAAATTGGAAGATAGGTTGCTGGAATTAAGAGAAATTATTATTATATGAATCAGAAAAACACTGAGGAAGAGAGTACTTGTGAGATCCACTTTCAATGGGATAAATACAGATTACTGTCGGAAGAAGATTTTTTTACAGTTATTTCAAATAGATATGAGATTTGTTTTATAGATGAACTTCGTGGACGTCTATTAGCAGAGCAAATTTTCACGTAGGGGACAACAAGAGAGAAAAATATTTATGCATTTTGCATATATAAAAAACTTTTTTATAAATTGAGAAAAATTGTTTCTGGCCACCTCAAAAATAATTGTTCTTTTGGTTTACACTTTGTTTTAAGAATATGAAAGGTTATCAAATGATTGTTTAATATTATTTGTATAATGGTTCGTGACTTACTGATATGATTCTTCTCTTTGACAGAGCCAATAGGTGGTACCACATTGGCATGTCCCCAAAACCCTGTCCAAATAATTTGTTTGAGTAGTTTAATGGCTGTATTTATTGGCATGGCATAGGTGAACGTGGGTTGTCAGAACGTTTAATAAACCCCATAAAAGAGTTAATCGTTGGGATGAGATAGATTGAGCTGTTCAATTTTATTGTCCATTTTTTTATTTATCTAATTAATTCCTGACATATCATCATTAATTAATATGTTATCTCAAATTTACATTTATTAACTTCTCCGCTAACTCACTAAATTAATGACATGTCAAGAATTAATTGGATGGATAGCAAAATTGAACAGCAAAATCTCAACTCTTGCGATTGGGGTCAAAGGATAAGCAGCTAAGCAATTTTGTGTGGTTGTAGTTAAAAATTTAATATTTTTTTTTTCAATTGATAATTGTCAATACCAACCGATAAAAATATAGTTGTTTTTTTGGGTTTATGGCTTAATGGGCCATGATCAATTCATAAACACCACTCAAGTCGAACTCCATTATTGGGAGTGACATTTGTCGCTATTAGAGAGCCTATTACCCCACTTAAGTTGAATTCCATTATTGGGAGTGGCATTTCATTCATGAACACTTTTTCAGAGAGTTAGCATAATCAATATGATGTAACAAGTAACAACTTGTTAAATGAGGCATTAATTTGTAATCTTAGGAAATAAATAAAGTTACATGCACTTGAAGAAAATGTATCAGGAAAATATATGATGCACTTGAAGAAAATGTATCAGGAAAATACATGATGCAAATTCATGAATTATTAGGTGTCCATTTATATTCCCATGTCTCTAGAGTTATCCATGTGGTCCTATAAATAGAGGTCATTCTTGTAGTCTCATAGTAAGAGGAAAAAAAAAAGAAAAACATTATTGAGTGTGCTGTAGCAACTCAAAAACTATCAATAAAAATTCAAGTTTTTCTTCAACACTTCGTTTCCGCACTAACAAATTTGGTATCAGAGCTATAACTTGTGATTGCATTTTTTCATGGCTTTCATACAAACAGCTTCGTTGTTTACATATTCTTCCAGTCAAGTCCCAATCTTCGAAGGCGAGCATTATGAATACTGGAGCATCCAAATGCAAACTTTCTTCATCTCCTTAGATCTTTGGGATGTCATTGACGATGAGGAGTACGAAGAACCATCCGAAGACAATGAAGATTACGAAAAATTGCAAAAAGAATTTAAAAGAAAAGATGCAATGGCTCTACGCTATATTCAACAAGGAGTCGGGAAATCAATTTTCCCTCGTATCTTTGGTGTTAAAAAAGCCAAAGATGCTTGGGAAACATTGATGCAAGAATTTCAAGGAATGGAGAAAAGATCGCCTTGAAACTTCAATCCTTATGGAGAGACTTTGATAATCTCCAAATGGAAGAACGAGAATTGGTTTGTGTTTTTTCTTCACGAGTAGCCGAGACAGTAAATCAAATCAAAAGCTGTGGTGACACAATTACAGATAAAAGAGTCGTGGAGAAAATGTTAAGATGCCTTCCTCCAAAGTTTGACCATGTTGCAGCCGCAATTGAAGAATCGAAAGACTTGTCCAAAATGACCATTTATGAGTTAACCGGGTCACTTCTTGCCCATGAGCAAAGGATCAATCGTTCGAGTAATCAATCCACTACCGAACAAGCTTTCCAATCAAAGCAAACATCAAAAGGAGGATCGAACAACTATGGAGAACACAACAGAGGCTCAAATCAAACAAAACAAAAAGATAGCTATTGGAAGAAGGGTGACAAGCAAAGCAAATGGAAAGGCAAGCAAACACAAATTTCTGGTGGTAACAATCCAACTTGCATAATTTGCAAAAAAATGAATCATGAATCAAAGGAGTGCTACTTTAGATGCAAAAGGTGCAAGATCCCCAATCATTCTCAAAGGGATTGTTGGTTTCAAAATAAAGAGATGACAGAAAGAAAAAGTGCAGCAAACTTTTCTCAAGAGAATGAAAAGGAAATTCTGTTTTATTCTCAAAATTATGAAAATGGAGCTCAAAGCCCTTGGTATTGGGATAGCGGTTGTAGCAATCACATGACGGGAAATCGCGACATCTTTGTGGACCTTAATCCAAATATTACTTCACAAGTAATTCTTAGCGATGGAACATGTAGAGATGCGGTAGGAAAAGACACCATTGCTGTCCAAATTAAAGAAGGTAACAAGAAACTCATCACAGATGTTCTTTATGTTTCCAATCTTTCTCATAATCTCCTAAGTGTTGGACAACTTATTCAAAGTGACTTCTCTATCCACTTTGATGATGGTGCATGTAAAGTTTTTGACAAAAAAAAAAATATTTGTGTGGCAAATATTGAAATGAAGAACAAGACATTTCCTCTTATGATGCCACTAAATGAGAATTGTGCACTCAAGGCAAGAGACGAAGATTTGGCGTATTTGTGGCATTTACGATATGGTCATCTTCATGAAAGAGGCCTTCGTTTACTCCAAATGAAAAACATGGTGACGGGACTTCCTAACATCCAACACATAGACAAAATGTGCGAAGGATGCATCTATGGGAAATTGCACAAGTTGTCGTTTCCAAAAAATTCATGGAGAACGAAAGCACCACTTGAGCTTGTGCACTCGGATATTTGTGGGCCAATGCAAACTCCCACTTTTGGAAACAAGAGATATTTTATTCTCTTTGTTGATGACTTCACAAGAATGATATGGGTTTTCTTCCTCAGTCAAAAATCTGAGGCATATTCCACATTTCTTCAATTCAAAGCTCAAGCAGAAAGGCAAAGTGGTTTTTTGATAAAAACTTTAAGGACCGATCGTGGAGGTGAATATCTCTATAATCCTTTCATGGAATATTGCAGAAAAAATAGCATCAAAAGACAATTAACTGTGAGTCGGACTCCGCAACAAAACGGCGTGGCCGAAAGAAAAAATCGCACAATTGTTGAAATGGCAAGAAGCATGCTAAAGGGCAAAGGACTTCCAAATCTGTATTGGGCAGAAGCTGTAAATACGGCAGTATACATTCTCAATCGGTCTCCAACAAAGGCTGTACGGAATAAAACTCCATACGAAGCTTGGAACAAAAAGAAGCCAATGGTTGATCACTTCAAAATATTTGGCAGAAATTTGACGAGAAAGGACAAAAACTTGTCTTTGTT